GACGTACGTGGACATCAGGTTAATCATAGTTATACTCGGCGTGCGTATAAATCAAAATGCCATACGCATACGTTATTGAAAGCCGTGAATTCCATACATTTGGGCGAAACTCTTGCAACAATGGCTATTTTTCTATTAATTCTGTTGGATGGAATTGCGTTCGCTGTTTAACAAATTACTCCTCACGTAGTCGTAGGGGCATAATTAACTGTATAGAATGCATAAGTACGAACTAAATAAAATTGTTTTGAATTTTTCATTTAAAAAATTGGATTGATTTTTGTGCGGAATTATTATCAGTAGTTGTATGACCCGAAAAAAGTCCCGGTTCGGAAATTGTAAGATCCATTCTCGGATGATATAGCACAATTCTCAGCAAGCTATGGATGTCATAGCATAATTTACGTCACTTTCAGGCTCTGTTCTTTGGTACTCTAATCTTTGCATTATTGATTGCTTGTAAGCTTAATGCCCACTTTGGTAGACCTGTCGATACAGAGGATACCAGCAACAGTGAAAGTAATTATTCAGTATTTAAATACAATTTTTACGAAGTCATGCATTGTTAAACTGTTAAACTTCTTTGTGAAAAGGCGAAGTTCGTTTCTCAGATTCATGTTTCCCCCTTTTTATGATTGGAAATGAATAATTTCTTTCTTTTGGGCATTTAAGCATGGAAAATTAAAAGCTCAACTGTATACGTTTTCCATGGTTTTGATTTTAAATTTCATTAATTTACTTCTTTAGTTTTATTGTTTGCACTAACTTTATTATTTTTAATAAGTTTTATCAGTTTTTTTAATTAGCTATTAGTAAGTTGGTTCATCCATTTTATTAGTGAAAGTATATGGTAGACAAAGGAAATGTTTACTTAATAGGAATGATTTGTTTAATCTTATTTGATAAGGGGTGACAACCTCGTGCTTATTAGATATAAACTGCACTGCTTCAAAGGTTCGAGAACATGAATAGGGATATAAAAAGGAAGAAAAAGTTACTCAGTAATGTTTATTATTTGTTAAGGTGATCGCTGTGATGTTTCACCAGTTCGTGAAAACGAAGAAAATAGCGATTTCGATCGTCCAAACAGTCGAACTTCCTTAGGGTTAGCGCACTGTCGATGTTTGGAAAAAGATAGGCGAACGATGGACTGGGTTCGAGATGCGCGGAAAATTTGTCGCCAATTAATGGTAATGTCATCATCATCATCATTATCAACATCACCATCATTATTAACATCATCATCATCATCAGCATCATTATCAACGTCGTCAATTACCACCATGCTTCAGCTTCAGCTCAATTCCTCTTTGAGTTGTTTTCTTCCTCTAATTCCAGTCGTTCATCCGTTTATCATGTTTCTGCTCGTAGTTTTCTTCTTTCATCTTACATTCTTATATGGATGATTCACATGAAGGACCGATCTGGAAGATGCGATCAGTTGTGTGTGCGTAAAGTCCGAGAATGCGGCACATTTATTCTTACATTTTGAAGAACAAACAAGAAGTTGCTCTATATTAGACTTTCGTTATTTGGCGGAACTATTAGCATTTCGAATAGAACATCTCAAGTTTCGTCACTGGATAACTTTGAAGTCATATGGACCAGAGCTGCGTTGTGATCATTTGTTGGTTGATGGACAATTTAGACTTTAGTTCATTAAACTTTAAAACATTGAAATTTTGTTGGAATCATAGTTTTACATAAAATTTGCGTTGATAGTTTGTTTTAATGAACGGTATAAGCTTTTTGCAGTTCGTACGGCAGATACCGGCTGTGCGGTTCTAAGGAAGTGCGCAGTGTGGTTTCGCGGTGAGCCTGTTTTTCTTAATATTTGCAATTTTTTAAGGGTTCCAAATCATTTTTAAAATTTCTTTGTTCATACCTGGCAAAATGTGAAAGAAATCAGCGAGCTGGAAAATTGCTTTGTGATCGGCAATGAAGAAAGAAATCGAGTACTTTGTATCCTATAGTTGAAAAAATTGAGAAATGCGTATGGAATAGAAGTTCTAAGTCTTACTTGGAATATATTCCAAGATTTTGAGAATCCGACTCTTCTTACTCAATTCGAACTCCAATTTTTAAGCAAAAAACCATAATATCGTATACTATTAGATTTTTACTGGAATTGCTTGTCTGGATGCTTTTTCACGGGTAAATTTAGCTTGATTATTTGCTGATCATGAAGAGGACGCCAGATTTGTGACCCAATTTCAAGGAATAATCCACTTGCGGGATGTGAATAATGTGATATGGAACAGGAGCGTTATCGTTCGGGGAGGAATTCTTACCTACACTGTAAATAGCATGTGGTAAAGAAGCACAACTGACAAAGTTCCGAAGTGCTTCTAGAAGAAAATCGACTGCTCGATCTACTTTTCTTTCCAAAGATCTTTGCTTCTTTTGTACTGTTCTCCTGAAATTGCTATTTTCCTATTCCTTTATTTCATTACCAGTTTGTCTTAAAACAAAAAAGGTAGTAATAAGCAGAAAAAATAACATGGTTATTTTGATGGCAAGGAATTGATACCTTTTCCACGGTGAAGCATATAGAATACTGTGGAAATACTGCGCGCAGTTGTATGCATGCAATAATTGGAGCTATTCTATGCAATTTTCATGTTTATATTGGATTAATGACAAACTACATCAGAATTGCGGAATCTAAAGAATTTTTTCTGTTTCAGAAGCCGAATTATCTACCACTATCATTGGATAGTGCAGAACACCCTATTTTGTCACGGAGAACATCCATAAAACGTCGACATTCCAATGTTGGTCCACTTCAGCTTGCTCGTGCTGCCAAAGAGTTCGTTGTTGCTTCATTTTCGTTTATTTTAAGATCGTTTCTCTCCATAACTTTTAAGAATTCTCTCCATAATCCCTTTAATCATCTCAACTCCGTTCACTATTCTTTACTTTTAGTTCTTAAATAAAATTAGATGATATTTGAAAGAGAATTTATGAAGGTCAGAAATTCTGATTAAGCTCAAAAATTCCAAGGAGAAAATGATTATAATCAATCAGAAACATAATTGTTTCTATTGGTGAAATTCTAAAATATGCTTGCCTTATCAATGATGAAATAAAATTCATGCTTCCTAAATTTTCAGCTTCATTGTCCATGGTAGTAGCGCAAAATTCCAGCGACAGCTTTCGGAAATGACGAAAAGAAAATTACCTAAACCTCCTTCTCAATTTTTCGAACCATCTGAAGTACCCAATGTTCCACAAAATGAAAAACCAGAAGTGTATTACGTTTTACACAATATCAAGTAAATCTTGTGTTTGTTTTTTTTTTTTTCATACGGAAAAGTCTATTATGGAAGACTGTTCTCATATTTGACAATAGCATAATTACTGAATTACGGAAAATAAATATCAAAATGCAGTAACCACACCGATTGGAATTGAAATCCTCGAAATGAGAGCTTTTTTATATTTTCTAATCCATTACCTGTGTATTTACAACTGTTGTATTTTTTAAGGATGTTGGAATTGCCGTCCGAGTGGTATGCACAGTGGAAGGGCCTGACTGTGGAGGAATACAAAGAGAATGATTATCTGATCAGACCTGGTGATAAAGACAACTACATCATTGTCGTTTTGGAAGGAGTGATTGCTGTCTTTATAACGGTATATTTCAGAAAGCAACAAAACTAAAAATTGTTTCTCTTAAATCTGATCGATAGTCGTTCAGTTTTTCCTGATTTACTTTTGCAGTTTGGATTATAAAAACCATAGTTAAAATTCACATGTTATAGCATACTGAAGGAAAGGAACTCATGGTTCGGAAAATTACAACTGGCGATAGCTTTTTCAGTCTGCTGTCGATTTTGGATGTCTTGATGGTATTATTCGAATTTTGTTAAACGTTTTCTCTGTTTTGATGTTATCTGAAAACCATGCTAACCTTGTCTTATTATAGTTCGAAATCCTATTAGGGACGAATGAAGATATTAACATAATCTCTTATATTATGCAAATCGTCTTCTCAGTTCTGTTAGACATTCTTTGTTTTGATGTTAGATTTCCTTTCAGAATCACGAAATAACTTTCCGCAATATATCGGTGAGAGCTTTGACGACGTGTCGAATTGCCAGGTACGTTTTAGTACCTACTGCTATCATCGGAGATTGTTTTTGAAAACTAAGAAAAGAATGTAGGAATGACGGCAAAAAAATAAAAGTGGAAATACTAAACTCTCTGAATAATAATTGTAGTAATAGCTTAACACAATAGTTATCATTACTAACATTACATTCCGATGGGATGCATCTAAGGCAAACAGTAGCAAACTTATACGGCTATAACAGCGTTATATAGTAGGGAACAAGCAAATTATTGCTCTATTTCTACTGCAGTTAGTTAACCCTTCTTTTATTCGTATTTATCCACATATTAAATTCGTATTTATCCGCATATTAATTTTGTTTTTCATTTGTTTTTTACTTTCAAATTAATAATTATTTTAGCTTTTTGAAGTAACAAATTTCATAGGTTTTTGAAGTATGATAGCTCATATGTCATGAATTAACGACCTGATGATAATTCATCTGTAATGAATTAACGAGTTGATTAATATGTTTGAAGCAAAAAATTCAAAGTGATATCTGCAGAAAAATTATTTTCAGTTTTCGGTTTTAAATCAAAAGTCGATGTCGTACTTCCAATTAAAATTGAAACTAGGACGAAAACTGGAATATGTTAAATAAGAAGTTTTAATATAAAATAGGCAATCATATATTTCATTATTTGGAAATTAATAGCATTTGATTTTCGACGTTACATACAGGGGAAAGGTCTTTCCTGTTACAGTATAACTTTAGTAAATTTTATAGGAATTTATCTGTTATTAGAGTTTTTCCGAATTTCCAATTTTGGATAGTATAGTTTTGGGAGGATTTATAACTTTTCATCCATCTTATAGGCATTTTAATTTTAAATTTTTCTATTGATCCAGACGGAAGAACGTTCAAAAAATAAAATTTGACTTATAAAAGCTTAAATTCCCATCCAAAACACGACTGCTATCGTTGTTTTACTTCATTTATACATGCAGGAGCGGATACAAGGACAATTATTTTAGAACCTTTACGACAAAACTATTTATTTATGTTTTGTGCTTGGAAAATTTTTGGAAAATTTTTCGAGACTTATAATTCTGGCGATCAAAATCAAAAGTTTTTCGAAGTTGGAGTAGTATAATGCTCTGGATCGCTATACATTGCATGAAAAAACAGTATAACAGAAAATATGAAAAGTGCACCATGTAAAACAATAACTCTCAATAATTTTTCATGAAATGCACATCTGCAAGAGTTTTGATTTTTCGGATTAATTTGGATTTTTTGATGGAAATCTGTTGTAGGTGTAGCACGAGCAATTTTCGGGATTCATTCATCAAGAATCCTAAATTCTGGGTCCGACCAATTCAGATTGTATTAACAAGGCTGCTACATGTTACTTTGACTACACTTCACCAATATCTCGGTTTGAGCATCGAATTAGCGAAAAAGGTGATTCATATTCGTTTCATAAAATTCATATTCATAATATTCTTTTCATTCTGATTCGATCAGTAGTACGATTTCCACTTTTTTCTTTGAAAACACAATTTAAAGCATATATTTTCGCGATTTTGCAAATGATTTTCATTTGTTAGTCATTCCACCTATTTAATATAGTCGAAATACTATACATCTAGCTTATTTCAGCGTTCAGATGAAAGGCGTAATATCGATGAGCGTCATCGGCATTCATCTGGAATTACTTGCTCAATTCGTCTGCAAAGCAAAATGCGACCCCGTCCTCATCGCCTAAGCAGCAATGATGGTGAATTGTCATTATCTTCATTCAAAATTTTGCTTCAGTTTTCAGTTTTACAATACACATATTGTGCATATCAGTCACAAGTTTCATTTTCCATTTAAGATTTGAAGGAATATTTGGCAACAGCACAGCGGTGGTTTGCTGAAGTACTTCACCTAGGTGTTAGTGCTGAATCGATAGCACTTTTTACTGGCCGTGTTACTATTGAGAATGTTCCCGAGAAATACCTTATTGTAGAGCAAACCTCTGAAAATGAATTGTTAATTATGGTTCTCAGTGGTCTCTTGACTATTTCTCAGGTTTTTTTTCTTTTCTTTTTTTTTTTCTTTTTTTTTTGTTTTTGCAACAATTAAAGCATGCACATTCGACATGCTTTTTACTTTACAAAAATTTACCGGTGATTTAACTTTAATCTCTTTAAGATTAGCGTTAGTCGTTGGATAAAATGCATAAACTGGGAAGGTATTACGATAGATGTGATAGTTGGGTGTGAAATCAATGTTTCAGTCACTTTATTCTAAATCGCAAAAAATTCTAAAATTTGATTTGAGGAGCCGATTGATGGTGAGGATGAAAATACAGATGAAGAACACATTTTCGTCTATCCACGTGAACTTATCGGTGGATTACAACTACTCACCGGTGAGCCGTGGTTTGTTACAGTTCGATCTCATACATGTGCAATATACGCTACTCTTTCGAAGAAAGATTTCTTTGAGTTAGTTTTTATCTTCCTCTTGCACTAGGTCTCTGATAACGTTAGTGTACATAAACAAGGCTCAAAAAGTTAGTTAATTTTGATTTGATCAAGTCAATTTCAATTCCTTTTCATCATTTTCATTTTCCAAAGAAGTATTTAATGACATTATGGCTTACTTTTCTACTTTTTCTTGATAATTAATGTTAAGATTGGTTGATATCCATCCAGAAATCGTATTGCCAGTCGCGCATTCAGTTATTCGACGATTAAGTCCTTTCGTTCGAAATGTAGATTTTGCAATTGATTGGATACTGCTTGATTCCGGACAAGCTGTATATAGGTCAGTCCTATTTTCAGAACCTAACGTTATTAAAAGAATTGATCAAAGTGATTTCTTTGCTGTACCAGAATTAATTATCTCTTTTAGAAGTGGTGATGTAGCCGACTCAATATTCGTCCTTTTAAGTGGAAGACTTCGATCTGTCGAAGACAAGAAAATAATCGAAGAGTTTGGGCGAGGTGATGTTTTGGGGATGATTGAGGTAATATTTTCTTCGTTACTTTGGCATGCTTATTTCCGCTTGGGTTATTCATACTTTTAAAAAATTAAAATGATTTCTTGTGAAATTATTTCCATCTAAGTCTCACTTTAGTAATCATAGAGTTCGTTTGATTTCTTTTTTAGAACAATTTTCATGCTGTATTAGATTAGTGCGAAAATGGTTATCGAGTTGTTGCATCACTGAACTTTAACTACTTTATGTTTGGCAACATTCTGAAATTAATGTGGCTGTAGTAAATATTATTTTAATTTTCATTTTTTGATTTATGCTTTTTTATTTTTCTTTCTCCTTATCGTTAATTTTATATTTTCGACTAAGGAAATGATGATGATAGTCAAAAAGCAAAATCGAGTAAATCCTTTGCTTGAGTCTAAAATGGGTCATAGACAGCAAATGCAACTTGTATTACCAATGCATTAGCTCAAAAACTGCTAACAGGCATGCAGTGGATTCAAAAAGTTCTGTGAGTAGACCAGTATCCTGAAGATAAAGAGCATAGTAATCGGTTACAGAAGTTGATGGTAGGAGTTTCGACCTAACATCCGCCATATTACCTGATATCTTCGGCATTTTAAGTAAATTGAAAAGGTGACAAGGTTTGATAAATGGATGTTTTATGAACTAATTAATAAACAAAAAAAAAAATCGCGGTGTTGAGTTATTATCTCTCAATCGAGTTGTAACATGCGACGAAAAGTGGGTTATAACTGGAGAAGACCATCGTAGTGGTTAGACAAAAGAAGTTATAAAACACTTCTTAAAGTCAAGCTTCCATCAAAAAAAATCACAGATCTGAAAAGGATGGTATACTGATAAGTAAGATTAATCAAAAGCTCCAAAAACTGCAAACGCATGCAGCAAACATTGGTTAACAGAAAGGACCCAATTCTTTTTACGACAATGCTCGGCTGTACTTCAGACAGCCAATGCGAAATGAGCTAAGAACATTTGCTATCCGCCGTTTGACCTATTGTTGAAGAAAAAATAAACCACAAGTTTAGCAAAGCAAAATTTCCTAATTATGAGTTCCAAATCGCAATTAGGTTTGGACGCATAACTAAGGTAGTAATATTGGGACCATTATATCAGCACATTTTCGCCAACGAGAAATAATTCGTTTAACCTTGTAGCAGAAATCTGTGCTTTGCAAGTCGACTTTCAACGGTTCATGAGTTCACAAAATTCTGAAACGTGCGTTTCTGTGATGCAAGAATAAAAAGCTTGTTTCTTGCTGGCAAAAATGTGTTCATTATGATAGTCCTGTTTTGATGATCAATGGTATCATGTTCAGACCTAATTATATCCATCTGAATTCTTCTATTCAAAAGTGTGACTACTCCAATCTATTGTCTAGCTAAACTGCAGAAACGAAACGTAGTACCTTTTAAAATTACATTCTTCGCCATCAGACCGCATTTCACATCGATATTGGTTTTTATGTTCTTTTGAAATCCTTTTCAAGTGTTATAAGTTTTAAGATTTCTCCATCAAGTCACATATTTTCCAGGTCCTTCAGCGAGTGCCGCGTGCCACTACTGTACTTGCAATTCGTTTTTCACAATTGGCACGACTTCCTGAAGGCCTTTTAAACTTCATTAAAATAAAGTTCCCCCAGGTAATTACGCTGGTTTTTCATATGCTGTGTTGGTATTACCTAGATTAAGTCTGACTTAATTCATTATTACAGGTTGGATTTCGTCTTGTCCATTTATTAGGTCAGTATTACACTTCATCGATACAAAGTACATCTACATTCAGATGTGGGTACAAGGATGGCCTTTCAATGACAAGCGATCCACAGAGTCATATCAAAGTAAGCACGTGACTTTTGGAACTATTAATCGTTTCGAATCAGTGATTTATTCAAATCTTCAGTTGAATTTCTGATTTCAGCTATTTGGGATTTTCGAGGTTTTTCAAGTAATTGGGTGAAGGGAATTAATTGATAAGGTATGACATGAAATACATGCGGTATAACGTACTTATGTACGTGGAAGTGCACTTTACAGATGGATTCATAAGTGAAAGTTTAATATGAAACTTTTGCAGAATTTACATACTATTGCGGTAGTGGCTGCAACACCCGATGTTCCTTTAACTGCATTTACGTGTGAACTATATCACGCTCTCACTGCAAATTTGCGGGTTCTGCGACTGAGCAGTCAGAAAATAGCCGAACTGTTGGATGTCAGTGTGCTGGAAAAGTAAGCTATTATCTGGAATTGCTACAAACCAAGGTACTGGACTTAGAAATGACATTCGACTTGAGTAAAACATATTGCCGAACTGATAAAATAAACTGTATTGTTTATTATTTTGTTTGCTTTTCTGACAATTCTTTTCCCTTTTTCATTCGGTATTTCTATGCTTTTTCAAATTACAATACATAAATATTTATATATGAGAAGTAATGCAAATTTTTATTTAGGATTTTAACCGACCAAACCTACGACGGGTAATTTTAATATTTTTTTCTCGTATTGTAGTAATTTTATTCTGCTATAGATCTACCTAGTGAATAAATTGAAGTTAAGCTGGTTGAATGACTGTAATGTAACTTTATAATAAAATAAGGTGTCCAGTTTACAAATCTGTTTCTACCATGAGAGCATTGAATGTCGGGGTGATTCAGGCATTTCTGTTTTTACCTATCCGTTTCCGTGCTTTCCTTACTTTTCCGGACATTGCTTTCCATTCGTTTTTCTAAAGCGGTCAAACTATATTTCAAGTGCAGGTGGGATTAGCTGAGCTGTGGTCTGTTTTCTTTCACTTTTAGAAGGGTTTAATTATTGTAGTTTTCTTGTACATGTTATTTATGAACTTGTTGTTTTATTTAATCCACTTACTAATATTTTCCTTATGTGTCGGTTTTTGAGCTGCATGCAGATCTTTTTTTCCGGTGAACATAATGATTTTATTTGAGGATTTTTGTTTATGTGTAACATGAAGGGATCTGTTTGAATTTAGAAATTTTTGAAATAAGTTCAAAATGCTTCGTATATCATGTAAACACATTTACTTGACAAATAAAGCCACATAGCAAAACATTTCACAATCTTAGTCATGTTATGCGAATTATCATTTGGTATAACAACTTCACTGTGTGGTGTCACTATTTAATTTCAGATTTTCTTTTTATGTAAATTTTAATAGATTTTGCTTTTTTGATGTAAATTTATAGTTTATTGATGAAATGATTTTATTACAGCCAAGCAGATTTTCGTCTTATGCACTGGCTTAATTTGCAAGAAGATACTTATCCACTAATTATCTATGAATGTGACACAAGCGCTACAAGTTGGACACGACGTTGTCTTCGCCAGGCAGATGCAATATTGTTCGTTGCTAATGGCGAGCAGAAGCCATTGCAGCATTCATTGGTTAGTTCTTGGCTTAGCTTATGTCCATATAGAAATTTGAGGGGAGCAGTTTTAACACTATTTTAAATTTGGTTCATTTAATATTGAAAATCTCATTAAAGAATAAAAATGAAAAGCATTCCATTTGTGTTATTAGTATTTCAGATGGATGATTATTTGAACATGAATGAGGATGGTATTCGAACAAATAAGGAATTGATCCTTCTTTGGGATGAAAAAACTGTGGAACCACAAGGGACAATTGAATGGTTGAAAGGAAGTTGGTTTTCGGGTCACCATCATATCCGTATTCATAAACGGATGGTACAGTGGGACTTGAAAAAGGTTAAATTTACTTTCAAAATGAGAAAAATGAATGTGAGGGTGAAAACAGTGACAAAGCAAGATAATGTTGTTGCGCCTGCTACCATTACATTTTTTGTAGCTTCATTTTGGATTCTTCCAGGTTTTCGAATCTGACATTGTGTCCTTCTACGAGCAAAACATTTATGGTGGAAAGGTTGACAGTGCATCAGATTTTGCAAGGCTAGCTCGAATACTGACTGGAAATGCAATCGGCGTTGTGCTGGGTGGAGGTGGTGCAAGGTTACCTTTTGCAATTGGTATATTTCAAAAAGAGTAGATATAACTATATTTCAAAAAGGGTAAATATAACTTCATTTTTGAAAACAAAAACAGTTGTGCATTTTCTCCATAATTTTGAATTATGTATGAAGCCAAAATTTTTTTATTTGCAGAGGTGCGGCTCATGTTGGTGTATTGCGTGCAATACAGGAACATGGTATCCCGATTGATATGATAGGGGGAACATCTATTGGGTCTATGATCAGTGGTTTGTACGCTCAGGAGGTTAATGATGTAGAGCAGAGAGCAAAAAGTTGGTTCATGGTTAGTTACATCCATTCAGAAAAACTAAAAACATTTAGAATCCATTTTTGTGTAACACAGATGTAATATTGTTCGATATCTATCAAACTTATCAGCTAAAGCTGACATATAATGTAAGTTCAGAATGATGGTTTACTGTGTAGCAGCAACATTGATTTTTTGATGTTCTTTCCTCATAAACCAGTTTGTTGTTTCTGTTGATTTGCGTATTATAGTTGCAATTTCAAATAATTTTAACGTAATCTTAGCACAAGAAATAAACCTTTTTATACTGAAAAATGAAATCTTAAGTAATTTCTTGGTAAACATTTTTCACCTACATCTAGTTCATTATTTAGACGATACCATCTAAGTTTTTCAAAATAAACTAATGACCTTGGCAGAATTCGAACAGTTTTTGTTTTGAAGAGGAAAATTTGCTGGTTTGAAATCTGCCAAAATCATCTGTTAGTTATGTAAACCAAAGAAGATTCAAATGAGGAACTGTATGGAGATGTGGGACTTAAGTTGTTTAGATTAAATCATATTTATTTATGCAAGGATTAAAATTTAAGTGACATTTCAATACGAATTTAGCGCCATTAATATTAAAATATTTAAATTACTTCGAAGTGCAACACAATGGAACTATTTCAGTTCTGCAAGTTTGAAAAAACAAAAATTTTCGTCTCATGAAAACTTTGTATAGAAATTGCTAGATTATTAATTTGCAGATGATGGCTTCAATTTGGCCAAAAATATGGGATTTAACGTATGCCCACTCAGCGATGTTTACTGGTGCCGGTTTCAATCATGGTCTTCAGGATTTATTCTCGGATTCATTAATCGAAGATCTATGGATACCATATTTTTGCATAAGCACTGATATAAGGTTAATCAAATTTCGTGATACTTCAAAACTTCCTGATTGATAGTTTATGAAACAGTTTAAAGTTTTGAAATTCTGAAATTTAAATGAATTCCTTTAGCAACTCGGAAATGAGGGTACATCGGACTGGTCCGCTATGGGCTTATTGCCGGGCATCAATGTCTTTGGCAGGTTATCTTCCTCCATTATGTGATCCAGTGGATGGTCATCTGTTACTAGATGGTGGTTATGTTAACAATTTACCAGCAGATGTTATGCAGTAAGTCCAATTTCCAAATTAAACTTGCAATTTTGTAGAATTTAAGCTTGTTTTTAATTTATAAAATACAATAAGAAAACTGTATATGTCACTAGAAATCTTAAAAAATTAACCAAATGAAAAATTCATGCGATTATTGCTAGTGCAGAAAGTAATATGATTTGATTATCTTCAGAGTAGCTGCCAGTGGTAAAGCAAAAGTAAGTATATAAGGAGTCAAAAATTAAAAGAGAAAGCATTAAATTAAGAGCAAATTTCCAATTAAAAATTATGAGTAAAATAGAAACTAATATCGATTCAGATGTTTTCTTATCAACATAGGCAAGTACACATTTTTCACAATACATGATCAAGACAAAAATTAAGTGAATTTACAAACTAGCAGTGCATTACAAAACCGAAAGAAAAAACGAAATCCAAAATTTTTAATCATAACGGTGGCTATAAATTTTATAGATATGTTAAGAATTTTACTGTTCTAACCAAACTGCAAAATATGGAAGTTCAAAACAAAAGTCTCATTTCTTTGAGTGAGAGTAGGCCCACACTGCACTAAATAAACTTTCAAATTCTTGAAATTTTTCATTGCAGCTTTTCGATAATTTAATTCAGATCCATAGGTGCTAAGATAGTGATCGCAGTGGATGTTGGTTCTGCTGCCGAAACAAATTTATACAATTATGGTGACTCATTGAGCGGATTTTGGATACTACTGAAAAAGTTAAATCCATTTGCTGAACCAATCAAAGTTCTGAATATGGAGGAAATACAGGTATTGTATACATGTTTTCGAATTTGAAATTTACTAGGGATTTTCAAAGTTAACTGCCGTAAGTTAACTACCATATTTGATTGCCATATTTTTTAAATTAAACGGATACCTTTTAATTGAAAAAATAATGAGAAATTATATTGTTACTCTAAATGACATCCTTGCATATCATATTTGTCCTTAAATGACGGAAGTGCATCATTAAGAGTCGCTTGGCTTATGTCTCTTGTGTGCAGCAGCTACAGTTAGTGAAAAACGCTGGGTACTGTCAATATATACGACCACCTATCGAGGAATTCAAAACCTTAGATTTTTATAAATATGATGAAATACGTGTATGTTCCTTTCGTCACATAATTAACTTATTTTTCTTTATTTGTTCTTATGGAACATTTTGTTTCTTTAGTTATTTGTCTTTTCAATATTTCAAACATTCTTTGAAGTAATTTATTGACTTATTATTGTTCTTATCAAGTTAATTACGTTCCAATAGTCAGAAATTTGCAGGATCTTGGCTACAAACATGGTGTAAAGGAGTTCGGAGAACTAGTGAAGACAAACGAAGACTTGAAAAATGTTATCGATGCTGAAAAGTTGCGCTCACTAAAACGACGATATTGGGGCCGGGAACCTTCGAAATTGGCCATGTACGACCGCGGCCGCGCTTCATCATTCACTAATCTCGCTGCTCAGGTCTGGGAACTTTAATATTTCCAAAAATTACCACTCCTTTTTTCGAATTCTGGGTTATGAGAATCAGCTTTTTAGCTCTTTTTTCCTCGACAGACTATGTTGTCACCCTTACGGGAATAATTCTACCCTGATGTAGAGTGGTAATTCTTCAGGTTTCAAGAGTTCCCAAAGTGCGCCAAAAGGTCAGCGTAAATGATGATGAAGTTGCGGAAGATGCATTCTCGGATGTTTGGTGGGATGTGGAGGAGGAAGAACAAGAACCAGATGTGCAGTCGCAGCCAGCATATAATTCTGAGGATGTTGAATCTATTGAGGCGGGTTACATCAGTGAACCCTGCACTGCTTATCAGACTAAATACACATTCAGCAGCGAAGATGAAGTAAGCACTGATAAAAGTAATACTGAAAATAATCGGAAGCGGAAGGCCACTTTATCTGAAGTGAATCAAAACTGTGGAGAGAAGATTGAAATGCAAAAGGCACTAGAGAAAACACCTGTGGTACGATTTGGATTTTCGCATCCGACGCCATCTGACGATAAGCTACTTGAAGGTCGAAATATGGCACTTGATTCTGATAAGTCTGCGAAGAAAGTTAATAATAATACAGCGCGGTAAACTAGGAAGTTTTCCATTTCTTTTGCTGCAGTGATTTCCTCTTGAATTTTATTAGATGTTATTGTTCGAATATCATAGTTGCTATTTGGAATTTTAAAGAGAGCTTCTGCAGCTTGCAATAGAACACATTAAAATGTAAAGTAGGACTTCAGACTGTTTGTTATTCATCAGTAGCAGTCAGCTTTATTTGTCATGCCCACTTTTATCAGTCCACATATAGTTTTAATCAGCCAGGTGCCTCCAGATGCTCATCAGAATGAAAAGCAATGCTCGCAGAATATAACAATTTAATCTCGATGAAAATTCAGTGCTCTTTCTGGATGGGTTTTTTTCACTTGGAATAAAATTAGTATATTTCATCAACATTGTTATTATCATTAAATGTTGTACGAATACTCTCTATCTTCTTTCTATTCATTCTTTTTGACAGTGATTCAAATCTTACTTCATTTTCCATTTTTTTTGAGTCTTTTTGTTTTGTTTGTTTAGAAATTTTTTTATCATGCGAAAGCCAAATTTTTTAGTTTGCAAATTTTTTTGTGAACTAATGCGAAAAGAATTAGTCCGTTTAGCTGAAAAATGATATTTACTGCGTTGTAAAATTTGCAGCAGATATAAAGCAGCAATACAGGGCATCCCTACAATATCTTTTTTCAGAGTATAGGTTGAAATACTGTGGACACTTTATCGTTTATCCTTCCAGGAAATAGCATACGTTAATTGTAAGGCAGTGGACTGATCCATTTCCAACAGTACTTTATGTATCAACTCGATAGGTGGCTTTGTGGCAGATAGCTTGAGCAATTTCCCGAATGGCTAGTGTAATATGTTTGCCATAAATATGAAATAAAAAATATGAATTAGAATAAACTCAAAATATGAATTAGAATAAACTCAATAAACTAAATATGAATTAGAATAAACTCACCGGAATCTTGAATCAAAGAATTTTAGTAATTCTAATTAATTTACGTATTTATCTGAAACAGTTTCCTTATTTTGTTAATATCTAAACATGTTCAAAAACTCGGCGAATTCAAGTTCATTTTTGCTAGTAGTTTTTAATTTAAATAGAATGCTCCCACTAAACAATTGGCAAGTCGTATCTTTGTTAGCAAATTATTTGTTTTTTCATTTTTTTTCTGTCTTATTGGATCTCTACATATATACATATGTACATATTCATATTTTATTACATATCGAGAACAGATTTCTTAGATTGGATTCGGACTGAACTTGGAATACAACTTGCTTAAAATTATATCTAATCTATCTTGCGATAGGTAAAGTCGAGAAGACCAATTCCATGGCATATCCTTTTTTATCAGTATCTTCTGAAGTTTAGTTAGCAAATTTTAGTAGCTCATATATGGTTTCATTTATATTTATAAATAAAAATGTAGAAAATGTATCTTCTGCACTGAGTCTTGTTATTGTTTGAAGTACGGGTAGTGAGATAGTATCAAAATGAATGAATGTTGTTAGCACTGTTGCATCTTTATTTATTGATGTTTAATAGAGTAAAATAAAGATACTCTATTCTACTCTACTCTACATGATAAGCTATATACATCATGCAAGTTCTCATCATATTTGGTAAGAAAAGATAATGTTTTGGAAAAACTACTTTGAACGAATAAGATCAGGTTATCTCAGTGAAATTTGTTTGAATCATTGGAATTGATTAATGATTCTCTGATATCATTAATTCATTACAGTATAGTGAGATTATTGATTATTTCGTGGTAGAATCATTGGTAATCTTATGAAACGAAAAGAATTTATTTAGCCTTTGGACAAATAATATAACTGATTGCTGATTAAATCTTACATTTGAGTTTTCCGAATATTCCAGCTTTTTTTTACCCAAACATGTATTGCTTTGCCACATGTCTGCTATCTGAGCTATCGTTTATTTTTGAATCTCAAGAAAAATTTCCATTCGCATTTCCAGAACACTTGCAATCTTGATTGAGATTCATTTTATTATAATGAAATCAAACTGAAGAAATATTCGTGGCTAAAATTGAATTTACTATGATGGATTACCGTAATCTTTTCCCTGCATGTTAAATGCTTTAATAGCAATAAAAATAATTATTGATAAGTGGGGAAATTTACCATTAAATGTTTACTATTTTTGCAATGAGGAAAGGAGAAAAGATTGCATATTCATAAATTTACATCCAAGAAGATGCTATTAGTTTTTCCTTTTTTCCTCATGAAAGCATTTTTACACTTATTTATTCGTCTCTTTTTATTTACCGATTCATTTGTTTTTATTTATTTATTCATTCGTTTCTTTTTATTTACGTACTCATTTGTATTTGTTTATTTATTCATTCTTTTTATTTATCTATATATTTATTTATTCATTCATTTATTTTTATTTATTTATCCGTCTATTCATATGTATTTATACGTTTGTTTTAATAAAAGAAAGAGGAAGGATGAAGAAATTTCTACCGCAAGTGAATAAGATAAAGAAGAGTTTAAATAGGACTTCTCTTGGGAATGATTTCCTTGAATAGATAAAATACTTGCTTCTTCCTCGTTAAAACTCCTTTTATTTTCACTACTACAGCTATCACATGATATCAGGGAACGGCAAAGGTACGGAATGATTAAGATATCTTTGTTTTGAAATATTTCATTGATATCTACTAGGAATTATTTATTTTTCGAGGAAAAGAAAATTTATCCGTAAGTAAATTTTGTTGAGCAACAGATGATAAATCATTTTTCCTAGGTCTTTTATATGATATTGGGTATTCTCGTTGCTAGGCTATTTCATTATTAACATTTACTGTTATGTTTAATATCAACCTAATCATTGCTATGCGTATGTGTAGAGGAAATTTTGTATCTTAATAATATTAGTGTAATTTCAGTATGAATAAAAGATAATTAATAATTCGCATTCAGACTAGGTAAAAAAGGTTAAGTATCACGATCATTTCTACGAATTATTTATTGATTCCATTTAATTCGACTTATATCACTCATAATATTAATGAATTTCAATTAAGAATTTAATTTTGTTAGCATATATCTGTACCAAAATTATAATTTGCAATAGATCGATTATTTTCCAAGAATATTATTGAATTCCTCTTTAAATTTGCTTTAATATTAACAAGTGTTATTAAGCTTTCCTTCCAAACTGATCCACAGTTTATTAATTCATTGAGGAAGTTGAAGTGTCCCAATTCTCTTCAGCCAATTTTAGAACTTTTACTTGGAATTCAACATTGTCATCATCTTTTGAAAAGCAGCATACCGTCATTTTATTTGCGAAAAAAAGAAAAAAAAATTACAAACGTTTAACTTCATTATTGTTAATTTGTCAAATTTTGATCGCAATAAATAAGGCAATGAAAAGGTGAGTAAAAGTTAAAGATAAAAAGATAATCATTAACATTGGACAACGGAAAACCAATAAGATAAGTTGAATTCAATTCGAAGACAGAAAAAAAAAATGAAGGACGTTACGTTTTCTTCTTTTTTAAAGAGGAAAAACAAGCAGTAATTTGAAAATTAGTTTAAAATGTCCGAAGTTCTATCCTGTTTTTTGCATTAATCATTGAGTAACGAAAAGAGTGAAAGTTATTTTTTTTTCTTTTTTACAGATTTAAATTATAAATTGTAAATGATTTTCCTTTCTTTTCCTTCTTTTTGCGTGACCAAAAATAGCTACAACAAATCAATGAAAATGCAGAAAGTAATAATTTTTAATGGTAAATATATCGCTAAATCTCTCTTCAATCTTCTTCGTTTTATTCTATTCATTTCAATAAAAAAAAATTTATTTTAAAGTTGAAAATAATTAATTTAAAAAATGTGATTTAGAAGATAGGAAGAAAAAGGTTGCAAGGAAGTTAGAAGTTAGATTAAACAGAACAGGTATTGAGAATTGTGAACAATTTTAAGATTGTAAAATGAAAAATATGTCTGAAAATGATCGCAGTTATTATCAATCAAAATTTGATAATTCTTCATTTTCTCTTACCAAAAAAAAAATTAAAAAATTCCAAATAACCTCCAAATATGATTGCAATGATGAATCACATATTTAGCAAATTATTCATCCAATTTGCTATTTGACACTTTGACAAAGAATCATTCAATTTTAATAATATATACTTTGAAGGGAATTGATTGAAAATTTGATGCTGTAAAATGGAACTCAAAAATATCAATCAATCATTTGTCATAGAATCACCCGCAATCTTTAGTTTTCAATTGGTATGATATTGAGGGTTGAAGGAGTGAAGGAAAGAATGAATGTACTTTCTGATCAAGAAAATTTTACTTCACTAATCATTTTCTACTTGCTTTTATTTTGTTTTTGTTTTTTCATTTTTAACAATGTGAGATAGTCTCTTCCTTGTCTGTCTGTCTGTCCATTTGGTTTGTTTTTTTTTTTTTGTTCTTTGATAATTTAGAAAAGCTTAAATAGTTAAATTTAAAATTGAAAGAATTACTTTTTAAGAATTATCAAAATGAACGATTTTAGCAACATTGTTTGACAATTATCATATTGAAATAATTTTTTTTTGTCTTTGGCTTGCTATTATTGAAAGGAAAAGTCTAATTGCTTTATGCAATTAGGTTAAATTTTAAATTATTTAAGAATAAAAGATAGGAGAGATGAATAAATAAATTCTGAGGCATTTCACTACATTCTAAAGCATTTTTGTCATGAAAAGAAAAAAAAAAAAGGAAACGAAAGATATTCCAGCTATTAACATGTTTAACAGTTGGGTCATTTTTTCTCAAAAATTTGAAATATGTCAAAATTCATTCAAGCAGTAAGTTTCAAATTTATCGCAATATTAGATGAATATTTTTAAAAAGTTCAACTAATGCATATAGAATGGATAATTGCAACAACATTGCTAGGGCCTGATGATATTTTCACTAATGCTAGGTAATGATACATGTATATGTGGCCAAGGAAGGCTTGAAATATATACATCATCATGGCTAGCCTTCGCGAACGAAAATTTGGGACGGGCTCTACCCGCATTTGCTGCACAACGCTACAAATGTGCAGGTATCTTTACAGCCCATTCAATGAATTTATCAGACTTTAGACTAGGCACAGCGCGCGCGGAACTGGACCCCATTCCTTATTCCTAAAGTCCATGTGCAAGGGCTTAGCAACCTAGGAT